TTCCTTATGTGGGCCTCTGTGGCACTCCCACTCCGTGGGATCTGAGCCGGCTGTGGCGGCACGCCTAGGGGGCGGCCCCGGCCGCGCCAGTTACTCGCGTCCTCTCCCACCTCCGACTGTCCTGACGCCGGACCCAGGTGGGGAGTGCCGCAGATTCTGTGCAAATCTACTGTCAATATAAACGAATTCCAGCGCAAGTCACCGCCCCTGCTGTGGAGCACACGGTGAACAACGGCCGGATTGTCGCATAGATGCATAGGACGGGGACGGCGGCTTCAATGCACGCTCTCACTAGTTGTTGAGTGTCTATCACAAGTTTGACGGCAGTTCCGCAGTTTTTCTAGGAGATACTGACAGAGATCATTCAGCAAAGGTTCAGAGGGTGGAGCTAGGCCCCTCGTTCTGACACCAGAGTCGAAGTCCTCATGAACCTCAACTAGTATTTCAATAGAATACCACGGAAGGATTCTTACGTCGTCGCAGCAGTCTGGACTTGAAGTAAATGCACGCTTTCTTGCGTTAACATGGTCCCGGTGTGCCCTGGGCCGGCAGCGTAGCCCCGTACACAGGATGGGGTGGGGGGGGGGGGTTACGTAGCTAACGATCCCTCCCCCTCCTACCTTCGAAGTGAAGCCTTCGAAGCTGCTGTTCTGCAAAGGGATTTAAATTAATCGAGGATCACAGGCCGGGCTTGCGGTAGGAGCAAATACCACATAAGGGGCGCAGCAATTAGGTACAGAAACGGAGCCGTAACCATTCAGGCCACACCAGGAGGACCTCACAGCCATGGCATAACAACAAATGGGCATTAGAATCCCGTTAAACAGCTTAAACCTGGACAACAGAACACCCATATATGCCACGGGAGCATATAAGCCTATGATCGTCCTCAATATTAGCATACGGACCCGGTGGAAGAGGTGAGACGCCAGAAGGAAACACTTTTGATTTTGACAAAAGTAAATACAATTTATGCAACTCATAATGACGCAAGATATATATAACTAACAACGCAACCGACTGTGGGTATACAGATAAGGAAATTGTCCTGCCAGAAAACCGCGAACACACGGAGCTCTGAGCAGAAGGACAGGAAGCTGAAGAAGACAAAGTGGGTGCAACGGAACACGACGGCCGCTCGCAACGGACGATGGTGCTGGAGGACAGGGAGTGATGGACGGAGGGCTGTTTGCGTGGAACAGTTGCACTGCATCAAACGAATGCCCAAAGGCACGGCCTTGAAAGCCCGGGTAGAAAGGAATCAGGATAAGGCAGACGTAAAGCGACCTTGTTTGTCCCAAGTACATAAGCGTGTACATGGAGCAGCACGCCAATCAGAGCGAGACATAGAAGGGGTGGGGGAGAGGGGGGGGATAGATAGCGTGACTTGACTATGCATCCAGATCCAACACGAAGAGCAGTTCCGGGTTCGTCAGATTGAGAGCCTCGAACGAGGGTGGATCACCGGTCTTCGGGGTCCAGTCATCTGACTTGCTGACAGCCGCATCACCAGAATCGTCTGTCGACACGTAGTCCTCGATGTCGCTCTCATCGGCCGGTCTGCAGTCTATGATACGCTTCGGAAAGTTGGCCTCAATCGCAAAGTTCTTCGGCGCACCCTCTTGGGAGATTATGAAGTAGTAGAGATGCTAAGGAGCAAAAAAAGAAAGGCAACTGCGTAAAGTGAGGTAGTGGCAGGACAGTGACAGGAACATATGGCGAGAAGGGGATTCGAACCCTACCTCGACAGCCTATAGGCAGTTGGGTAACAAAATTTTCCCTCCCCCCTCTATAACGGGCCACGTGGTAGGTGCGCTGGACCAACAAGGGAGGGGGGGACAAATCGGATTCTGGGAAGCGTTATCCGGAATGCGCACCCATAACAAATGTCCACGCCGCGTCATTTCGGATTCCTTCCGCCAACATATATGTTGTTGTTTGAAATCCTGGTTAAGTGTTTGTTGTGAACGGGGGGGGGGGGAGGGGGTGATGCTATTCGACAAGTGTGCATCCTGTTTAACTATGCTATTGGTTGGACCCACGGGAGAAATGTTTGAAGTTTGGACGGTGGCAAATGTGCAATAGGACTCTGGCTTACCGACTGTGGCTGCGCAGACCATAACACCCTCATTCAGTAAAGCTAGGCAGACCAACCGACTATAATGTCGCAGGCGAACGAGTTTTAGAAACCACTCGATTTATTCATCAACGTTGCACAAGCCAAAGCGTTGCCGGGATGCATCTCCGGAGAAGAGTCCTTGCTATGTCAGCATGAGCGGCGTAAATGGAACGTTCTACCTTGGCTCAGGATATCAAAAGTGGAGCACAATAAGGCACTCTGAGGAAACTCCTGGTTACATTAAAATACATTGTTATAACGACCAGAGAACAACTCGTCAAACTGATTACGCTGAATTAAGCTTGATTTACTACCGGCGGCGTATGAGACTGACCCTGTCGTCATCCAGGGTGGCTGTTATCATGAATTGGGCCGCCTACCTCCTGATAGGTCCTCATCGCCGCCAAGCCATAGGCCTAAACATAGAGGAACTGCAGCTGATTCCTCTTATATCCCAAAGAAACAAACACATTGCCGGCGTGGACAACGAGACGATAGTTCGACCGTCGATTTCGATTATGTCCACCAAGTGCCCCACAGCAGCAGCGGTGGGAGCAGGGACGGTGACTTGCGCAGGGGTTTATAGTGCCGGTAGACTAGCGCTGCATCAACCTACACTCTCTCCTCCTCCCTCGCCCGAGCCCGGTGTCAAGGCAGAGTCAAGAAGACCGGAGACGAGGGAGGCCGGACAACGAGACGACGGTCAGTGACTCACTCAGGATTCGACGGTTCAGGCGGCCACTTGGAGCGTTCGTTCACACGGTAAAGCAAATCTAGCGTAGAACCTATAATTACATCGCGTTAGCTACCAAGCCTAATCTCATTCCCAGTTGGTCGGACTCAGATAATTCAATGATGTACGGGAAGGGGAGGAGGGATTAAGACCGGTTCAGTCGTGACACCAGAGCGCGGTAGGTGTGGGCAGAGTGGATGCTGTGTTGTGACTACTTAGGTAGCATGATCTTCCTCCACCGAATTTTATGCCTTTATAAACTCAACAACATTTCGCAGAAAACGCGCACGAAAATACGTTTTCTTGTATTTGTCTCCAAACTTCGTCTTCTTTAGGTCTTGTACTTAAAGACTTAAAGGATATCTTCCGGTTTTAAACGCGTTTGATTCTCAAAAAATTTAAAGTGCAGTTATACTTGCGCTAAGGGTTTCCCAACTACACGCTAAACAGTCTTCGTGAAGGGGGAATCAAACATTTCCCCACGCTATTAGAAAGACGTCATATTGGGTTCGTGCGATTTTGCAACAGGCGGGGACCATGTTGCAGCATGAACAAACGGACAAGTACGGTGTTGTATGAGTAGACGCCTCGTGGTTCTAAATAACCTCATAATTGCAGGTATTTTTAAAACCGAACGACACGGAATCTTCTGCCAAATGAGTACAGGAATATTTTTCTGCATGTTTTCTACAGAATATGCTTGAATTAACAAAAGCACGGACATCCAGTGGGGAATAACCATACTACTTATGCAGTCATTTCTATCGAGTTTGGTTTTTGTAGGCGACCGTAAAGAAACTCATCCGAAATCCGGCATCCTGTACTGAATGAAATATCTCGAGGTTATTCTGTGCAATAATCATCGTTACAACCTCACCTAAGTAAATCCTTCTAGCTAAAAACGCTTTTAAGAGCTTCAGTTAACATTTCATGAGATAGGCAGTCTACTGTACATCGTCGGACTTTCATTAGCAGTAGTCAAAGTTGGTCTGGTTTATTGGTTTAGTCGCAACTTTTCTCAAGAATCGGTCAGGCAAATTCTTGCTGCGAGCGCCTACCATCCTCGGTACGCCAACTTCGGTGAAGTTTAAAACTAAAACACGACCGCAGTCCTACGTACTTATTTGACATTGGCCTTGGAGTAAACTATGCTTTAAAAAACTTCTCGAATTCTACGCACTTCTGTTGCGGAGCCAGTTTTGGACAACACCCTGCGAAGCTAGGTATGAAGAAGTATTTTGCAGCTGATGACAGTGGCAACTAACGAAGAAGGATGGGCAAATTTATGCGAGTGCCTGATTCTAGTAAACATTGAAATGCCTTTAGAAGTGTATAGATAGGCAACAGTCGTACGGAAGTTAGCCTTCACGACGTAGCTAGAGCATCAATTACTCCCTTTCCTCCCGTGTTATGTTCCTACCATAACGCCTAGCTGGTAGCCCGTTCTACAACTCACCGCGCGATCGAATCCCCCAAATAAGAACTCAACGGTAGGGAGTCTATTGCTGAGCCCTAACAATAAACATCTCGCGGCAAAAGTGTTCAAGGTCGGCCCCGAATTAAGCCAATCAGGTCGTGGCCTTAAACTGTTAGCATGCCAATCGGGCTTTTAGCTCATTTGAGTGGCTGGACACCCCTCCAATCCTGCTGGTGGCTGGCAGGGCACCAACACGCGCACGCCGAGTGTGCGGATAGACAGAATGGGGGCGTGTGAGCGCTTCGTTAGGGTGGCGTGGGAACGAGTCCTACTCCTAACAGCCCCGATCAAGCCCGGGAAAGCTACGATTTTGACTGCTAGTGTTCATGCGACAGGACACAAAGGAGGCTCAGTCCGGGTCACATGAAGCGCAAGTGGCGATATAGCGTGGGTCTCCAGCCCAGTTTTAGAACAGTGGACTTCAGACGAATTGAATTCGGGTTCAAACGCCAGACCGCCCTCTCCCACAGGCTGGGTTGAGGCACGACTGGCCAAGGCCGATGACGATAGGAATTGGGCCATAAACGCTCATTCCAGCCCAGTC